GCAAATATTTAAATTTTAGTACACAAGAGGTTGCACTTTATTCGTATTAGTCTATGCTGATCTTGGATTAGCATACCAACAGCATATGATTGTTAAGGGGATAGTTCACTCAAAAATAAAAATTCTCTCATCTTTTACTCACCCTCATGCTGTCCCAAATGCATATTACTTTCTTTCGACTGGACAGGTAAACACAAATTAAGATTTTTAGGCAAATAATCCATCTCTGTGAGTCCTAAAGATGCTTTAAAAACCACACACAGCTACCGTGACAGTAATCCATCTGACCTTAATGGTTGAATCAGTATCTTTTGAAGTGAAACAACAGATAAGAAAAACACTAATAATTTAAACTTTTGACTATTAACAATCGCTTCCGATCAACTGTCATATGTGCATGGGTTACAATTCACTTGTGTTATGCGGATTCTCAGAGATGGATTATTTTCTTAAAAATCTTTGTTTATGTCAAGAAAGAAAGTCATATACAGGTGCATCTCAATAAATTAGAATGTCGTGGAAAAGTTCATTTATTTCAATAATTCAACTCAAATTGTGAAACTTATTAAATAAATTAAATAAATTCAATGCACACAGACTGAAGTAGTTTAAGTCTTTGGTTCTTTTAATTGTGACTCACATTTAACAAGACCAATAAAAAAACAGTTTTAGTGAATTGTTGGCCTTCTGGAAAGTATGTTGCAGTTAGTGTTTCGAGGATTCTGGTCTTTCCTGTCACAACATAATTGCATCCAAGACTTTCACTTTGATACTTGTGTATATGCTATAGTGACAATAAAGAATGTACATATATTTGAATTAATTCATATTTTCATTTACATTCATGGTTTATAGTTTATAAAAGTCACACTTGAAAGAGATGATTGTTAAAATGTATTTCCAATTTTAAATGTTAATGTATCATGTTAACTAAATAAAATAACTAAACAAAATTATCAGCATGATAAAAACAATTGGCTGCAAGAACATTCTTTGTGTGGAATATGTAATAAAATGAGCTTGATTGCCTGGTTGGAGAGAGACTTTCTTGACGTCTGAATATATCACACATATATGATAGTATTTCAAATGTAACGGCACAACCTAATTAGACCCTACAATGCAATTGGCTCACATTTAACAAAAACCCACCAATTCACTATCTCAACAAATTAGAATACTTCATAAGACCAATAAAAAAAGTGAATTGTGTTTTATTTATTTTAGTGAATTTGTGAAATTTTTAGTGAAAATTTAGTGAATTGTTGGCCTTCTGGAAAGTAATTTTTTGGGGTGGAATATTCCTGTAAAGACTGATATTGCACTCCAATACACAACATACTCATTCACTGTTTTGTAACTTATACTATAACAGGAACTGTTGAAAGGATCATTGCAGTGTTTAAAACATATTATGAATTGTAAACATATTCTGTATATTATGTTCTTGTGCATTATGTGTAGTAATGTAAATTATGAGAATACTGTGCATTACATGTATACTATGCAGTTAGTGTTTTGTGGATTCTGGTCTTTCCTGTCACAACATAATTGCATCCACGACTTTCACTTTGATACTTGTGTATATGCTATAGTGACAATAAAGAATGTACATTTATTTGAACTAATTCATATTTTCATTTACATTCATTAAAACTGGTTTATAAAAGTCACACTTGAAAGAGTTGATGATTGTTAAAATGTATTTCCAACTTTAAACGTTAGATGATAATGTTAACTAAATAAAATAACTAAACAAAATTATCAGCATGATAAAAACAATTGGCTGCAAGAACATTCTTTGTGTGGAATATGTAATAAAATGAGCTTGATTGCCTGGTTGGAGAGAGACTTTCTTGACGTCTGAATATATCACACATATATGATAGTATTTCAAATGTAACCGCACAACCTAATTAGACCCTACAATGCAAAAGAATCATGAGCAATAAACAAATATCCTACGAGAACACTGGACATAATACAATATTTCCAGTATTATATACAGTACTTTAATAATTAAACCTCAATGTGACCTTCTTTTTCTCTCGTGTTTGATTCCTCGCACTCCTAAAAGCTTATGTTGACAGAGTAGTAGCAACAGATAAATACAGATTGAATTCAAAAACAAAACTCCTAACTTTATATCACTAAAATGAAATTGGAAGCCGCTAACAGACGCTCACATCCACACTGGCAAGGCAACATTGACACCTTCACTTCCAGGTCAAGAAGCTGTCAATCAAAAACTCAGTAGCCAATGAGAACACACCGCTGCTAGCCCCACCCCCACGAGAGATTTGTGCCAGAATGGCGAACGAAAACTTCAGAAGCATAAATGAAAACTTCAGAAGCGTATGCAGTGTATTAAAAATGAAGTCAAAGATTTTGCCTGCAATTTTTTTTTTTTTTTTTTCCAGTTTCAAAGACATTTTATTCAGCTTCAATTTATATTTTCATAAGTTTCTTGAAAAATTACATTCATTTTAATTGGCACAAAGGTAATCCCATATTTTTGCAGTAGGCCTATTTTGTGGTGAGCTAACATTGACCACTTCAGAACCCATCTGACTGAGACACACCGAATATTTTTAGCACTGTACCAGTGAATTTCAAACTTGCAACTTTTAATCTACCAGTAAACAAAAAATGCTTCTTATTTGACATCTTGTTCTATTAAAGCTGCAGTCCGTAACTTTCTTTGGTTAAAAATGATCCGAAATCAATATTTGTGCATAACCAGCCAGTGTTCGAAACTATCGCCTTACTTTAGCCCGATTCACAACGGTTAGCTTATAATAATGTTTTCTAATTTGAGTGGTACGGGTAGGTTTTCGAGGGAAATTCGAGCATGGCACTGCGTCATTACGTCACTTCTGTAAACATAAAGAAGTTGTCCCGGCTACTAGGCTGTCGCATGTGAGAATCCTGCAGGTGGCGGATCGTTTTTAGCCTTTTCTCACAGCAGCAGTGGCGGCTCGTCGGGGGAGGCAGGGGAGGCACATTTTCACCTCTTTCACAGAGGTGAAAATGGGAGGAGGATGATTTAATGTTAAAGGGGTCATATGATGTTGCTAAAAAGAACATTATTGCCATTTTAAAGTGATTAAGCAAATAATAATAATAATCGGCAGGGATCCCAGACCAATACAATTAGTGTGCCTCTATTTTAAAACCCACCAGCCGCCACTGCACAGCAGCCAGAATAATTATGTATAATTTTGATGGCGGATTGTAATCCATAAAGGATTATGTGTTTATTAAACACATGTGAATGAAATTAAATTATATTCCAGTTATAAATGTGCTTCTGATTACAGATAGCCTGGGATTACAAAGAAAACCATTTTGTATTTTAAAGAAAACCAGTTCGAAGGGAGTATAATTTGCTTTTTGGGTTAAAATAATTTCTTAATATGAAATTTGAAGAGTATGACAATTAGATTAGACTGTGCAGAAATTGAAATCTAGACGCTAATACACTACTCATAGTCACCAATGCTGAGTGATGTTGTTAACATTAATCATTTGAGAATAAAGTATAACAATAATAATAATTTGAACGGTTTGATGTGATATGAGCTAACCGATCTTTAGATTTAATCACCATTGGTAGCGAGATTTATGGTCATGCTTTTTTCCTCAGTTGGTCAGAACAAACGTGGCAGACTTGTTACTTACTTGTTCAGATGGCAATATCCGGTGACAATTCTTATTTGGGTCATATTCCAAGACGTAGGCGAGAATCTGTGATTGCGAAGTAAATATCCACACCGGTACGGTGACTGACTGCCACACATACAGTATAGATTCATCCGCGCTCTGAAAGTAAAAAATTATTAAATGCCCATGAGAAATATTCAAAACTGATACAATACTAGAAATTGCAAAGTTAATGCATAACCATTGGAAAGCAAAATGCTCAGTGGGTCAGCAGGGTCAGTCAAAAACATGTGGAGAAGAAAAGATGCATGTTAACTGCAAAAGAATTTGGTAAAATGTGCTTGGAAAAAAATATGATCAGAATATCAACTTGCATAATAATTATGCATGCACTGTATTTTTCCTCTTCTGCTGTCGAGGTAATGCAAGGAATGTTTTGATTGGTTGTCAAGGCAGCCAATCAGAATTTAGCAGCCTCGGTCTCTGATTGGCTGGAATTATGGCACATTGTAACGCTGGGTTGTGTTGAGCATGCGAGCTGTTGGCATTTAGCGAGCACTGAGGGCGGGCATCAAGGGATCAAGCTAGTGAAACGTCGCACGCGAAAAAGAGAAGGTCTGCACACATCCAAAAACTTATTTTAAATGCAAAATTGATTTTCGTGCGCTCGACATACTTTCTTCTTTGCGCGACAAACATTTTCTCCACAAAACTCAGTTCGCGCGCGTGCAAAACGCACTTTTGCGCGCTCAAAATATGATCTTTCGCGCGCAGAATTTCGGCGGAAATGTAATTCCATACGCTGGAGCCGCGCCCACTCACAACCCACGCAAACTAGATAATTCCGCACCCAGCTGCAATTCCAGGTTTTCAAACAGAGATGGCGACAAAGAGGCAAAATTTACGGACTGCAGCTTTAAACTGAATGTGCCTTTCAGCTAATAAATATGGTGTTAGTAATATGGTACGTTAAAAGTCTGACGAAAACCATTAATTTTTGAATTGTGAATGAGCGCGAATTTCCGCATAAACTAAAGTAATGCTGAGTTGTGTTGCTTAATGTACTATACTAAAGTGCACCGAAACACACTGAACACTGACCAGGCATACCGTGTCAATTACAAGTTTTAAATTAAGGGACTACAGCAGTACTGCTACAACTTTTCCATCTTTTATTGTGCAGTACAACATCATTATTCCTAAACTACTGCATAGAGTAGCCTAATGCAATTTATTTCTAAAAGAGTCCGTTTCAGGAATGATGAATACCTTTTACCTCCTTGCAGATGACATGCAGTGCTGTGAAAAAAAAGCACATTTTGCTTGTTTCTTTTTTATTTATTCATGATTAAATATCCACATCACTAGTTAACAATTAATCACAATGACCTCTTTCATACCAAAAAATACATCTTAAATCAGGGGGGAGACATTAAATCCAATTTAGGACTGATGTCTGTAGTCTATTGTTGTCGACATGCTCTTTTGATGTGTTCTATGGGTTGCAAACACATTGTGAGTCCTAACAGACACACTAGGGGGCTCTTTTGCTGCCTAATTCCAGTGCTCTATCTACTTTTAAACATGCCGATTACTAGTCTACCAGTTAGTTAGTCTCATACAGATGTGCGGTATGGATATTCAAACAACATTCAAGGTCTATGTGTCAGGTGCAGTTTGTGGGAGGAATCATTGTTCCTGTGGTTACTGATTACCTCTAAACTCTCGACCCACTTTCTGCATCCCGTGTCAGTCTACTCAAGTCATTACCAGAATGCTGTGCCTTTTTTTACACAGAAGGACATCAGAGTCCTTTGAGTTTTTCCATCCTTAGACAAAACCAATCACACTCCTCCTCCTATTGATTACATTGTGTTTAGTATGTGGCCTGTGATGACAAAGAGAAAAAGTTACACACATAATATACTGTATATTCCCTGCTTCCTGAATACAATACATTTTAAAAACATTCTTGTTTGCCAGCCCTTTTCTTCAAAAAAAGGCAGACTCACTTAAAGAATAAAATACTGTCTGGAGAAATATTCATCGATGCAAAATCTTCACTTTGCTTCTCTATACAACCCAATCAAGAAGTGTTTTCTCCCTGCGGGGTATAAAGTGTGAAACGTGTATTTACAAAACTGCGTTGAGCGGACTGGTGCGGTGGATGTGAGAAGTGTACCAACATAGTGAGTGTTCATTCATTATGGAAATGACAAAATAGAGCTGTCTGAAGGCATGAAAGGTTATGATCACTGTATCAAGAGTACAACACTGAAGTTTACTGGCATAGCCCCTAAACAGTACACACTAACCACGAAAGGAACTACAGACAGGACAGTTCGGCCAAGCGCAGCTGCTCTACATTAAACACACTTGCTCACACTCGTACAAACTGTATTTACAGACTGCTCTGTGAGATACAGGTACATGTTTTGCATTTTTGAGTAACTGGGACTCTTTTTGAGGGGATACAATTTAGGAAAATGTGCTCAATCGATCTTATCGTTCTCGTTGTAGTATAAAACATCCATCATAAAGTGCATTTCAAATGCTCATCAGCTAATTAGGATATTTGCATAATTTATTACTTCCTGGTCTCTGTTGTTCAGTTTTATGTGGGATTTTCTTTGATGTTGCAAACATTACCACCATCAATGATCTACCATGATGTCACAGAAAATTGCGATATGTGAAATACATATTTCACAACATGTAGTGAATCAAACCCTGTATACAATCATAACCTTTTAACCAACAACAGCAAACTGTTTTTTTTTCTGCAGGCATTGTGCAGCTAAATATTTCTAGAATAATACCTACTACCAATAAAGTGCCCACAAATTCACTGTTAAACAGTGTCACTAGTCAAGAGTTTCAAAAAAGCAGCCCTACAATAGTAGGTTTGGAGAGTTTAAAACTATGATATTCAAATACTTTGTGAATAATACATCACTTGGTAAAAAAAACAAATAGCATTTATTACTATGTTTGATTAAATAGTAATTTCCACTGAATAAATAATAGGGAAATGGGTTGTATTGCAATGCTTAATTAGGATACATTTACAGTTAATGTAATGGGCCCTCGCACATGCCGGTTCATATGTCCAGTGCAAAAGTTGTTTACTTTTTGGATCTGGAGATATAATATTTAATTGAAAGTGGGGATGATTTCGACCTTTGAGCAAATAATCATGACCTGTACACGGAGTGTAAACACATTTCCATCTATATTTCTTCCCATCCTGTCTGTTTAGTTTGCGTGCCACTTCCTTTTTCTCTTCCTGTATCATGCTGTAGTTTATGTGTGTCATGTGTTTTTGTGTCCTATTAGTTCACAAGATGCTTTGAGAGAAATGGAAAGTGGAAAATGTAATCAGATGGTTAGACATCATAATGATACAGCTCATCGTTACAGGAATTTACACAAACACGATACAGCAAACTCACTGAAGATGTAAATATGCTATTGTTTGAACAACCTACACATTTCAAATGATTAAGTGCTCATTTAAATACTGAGGGAGAACGGTTTATAATTCATGTGAGGTGGACAGGGTCAGTGGAGCAAAGGGAGCAGATGGATGGATGGTGGCTGATTCATCCCTTTTGACTGGGATTTAAGACAGCCCCATATACTAACAATACAGGGAGCGTAACTGCCATAATATGTAATAAGCTACATCTCAAGTGAGTTCTGGGGTTCCCATTGGAGAACATCTACTGCCAGATACAGACAGAAAAGAGGGTGTTACCTCTAAATTTAGGTCTGTCTAAAGGATAGCACAGGCTCGTAGGAAGTTTAGAAGGAAACTCTGGTGTTATAGGCAAAATGCTATGGATTTAACAAAGATGACAATAAGAGCTACGTGGCTGGAGCATCCATTATCTCCAACAATCTGGAGACTTCATCCCATATCTAGCCTCAAACCAAACCCTGCATTCGAAAAGAAGTGCTGTAAATTAAGCCACAGCCTGGATCTTTCCCAAAACATGATCTCATGGGTGCTCTCCCAACAAAGAAAAAACCAAGAAAACTGTAAACAAGAGAAGAAGCTAATGAGAAGATAGGTTTTAAAGGGACAGGCTGTGTTGAAATCAGAGTCCTTCTCCTGCTAGTGTACTGGTTTGCACCCATCTCATAGCTGAGTGAATGGGACAAGCTGGGTTGAGTGTGAGGACATGGTGGACCCCAGAGAAACACTGAGAGAGGTGCTGCGATGTGGGTGGGGGTGGCTGCCACTCAGGGAGGACCAGGAGATGATTTTAGCGCTGTGGTCCGTGCGAGCTCGTGCGTTCTCGCGGAAGTTCAGCTTGTAGGACTCAATCTGGTGGCAAAGAAATGGAAAAGCTGTTAGGAAACAACATAAATAGCTGGATATTGTACATTGCCATTCAGAATAATTGACATTTCAAAAAAGAGTGAAACTATCTGTTTCCGATATAAACCAGGTTTGTTCAGTATTTAGTTCTTGAATTTGAACTGGGGTAGCAAACAGGATGTAGAATTTAAAGCCTTGTTTGAAAGTTTAAAAAGAAAAACAGCACAAGGTCGTTTTAGTTCATAGCCCTTATAGTCAGGGACAATGACAGAACGGTAAATAGATATGTTTGAAATTTGAATTTAGTTTATTCAGTTATTTTATCCTATGAAATAAATGAACTTTTGTGCACCAGGGTTTAAGAAGTCTACATTTAATTTGCATTAACCAGTAACGTTCTTTGAATTGTAATTCTATAAATTCTTCTTCTCGTCATTCCAAGTCAAATTTCAGTTCAGTTTCCTGTGGGCTGTAGCCAATTCAGTTTGAATTCTGACTCAAGTTCTTGAATGCTAATATACACAATATATTATATCTCTTCAGGTTTCTCTTTTTAAGGAGTCATACATAAGGGTTGAATATGCCTAGTTTGCACTTACTTGTCCCAGGGATGCGCTTGTCCATGCCTTGGGAGTCCCGGGGCCCCTCTCCCAAAGAAGGTACGGGAGCAGGAGAGTTCTCTTTCAACCCGTTCTCCTTTGCCCCGTTGCCTGCCTGCACAGGTGGAGAGACAGCAGGGGGAGATGGGCTTCCCTCAGATTTCTGCTGAACCCCCTCAGCCTGGAAACACAATGCAGTTAAAGAATATAGTTACAGGAGACAAACATGCATTTATGTGTGTGTGTGTTTGTGTGGAAAATATATGGAAAACAAAAACCATTGTGTTATTCCTAAAAAGTTGTGTTAAGAGTTAACAAAATTGACATGAATACTTTCTATACTTTTTGAATTGTACAAGTACACAAGATTTATTATACAAGTACATTATCATTCAAAAGTTAGGGGTTGGTATGATTTTTTAAATGTTTTTGAAAAAAGTCTCATGTTCACCAAGGCTGAATTTATTTTGATAAAAAATATAGTAAAACAGTAATATGGTGAAATATTATGACAATATAAAATAACTTTTTATTTTTTATTTTAATATATTCTGATATATATTTTAATGGCTGATTTTTTTGCTGATTTGGTGCTCAAGAAACATTTCTTGTTAAAAACAGCATACACTTAATATTTTTGTGGAAACCATGATACATTTTTTTCCAGAACTCAGCATTTTGATGAATAGAAAGTTAAAAAGAACAGGATTTATTTGAAACAAATCTTTTGTATCATAATAAATGTCTTTACTGTCATTTTTGATCAATCTAATATAAGTATTCATTTATTCAGTCATTTATTTATTGTGCATATATTGTGACTTATAAATTGCAGAATTTGTACTATTTATATCTATATACAATCTATATTAAAATTACAACTTCTCAAATGTATCCTTTTAAAATGAATCAAAAATGTCTTCTTAAACAATACTACAGGAACTACTGTATTTCAAACTTTCTAGCATATTTGCATGCATTTTTCTCAGCTGTTCAGGTTGATGTAGTGCTCTCACAGAACATTCATCCACTAGGAAATATCATTATAAAAAAAACTTTATAATGCTCAAAACCACTAACAAACACACAAACTGGTGCTCAGCCATGTGAGATGCTCAGCCATTTGAGATGTCATAAAGACCTAAAATAAAAAAGCACATTTCCATCAATGAGGGGGTTGAATCTTACAAACTACATGCTTGCTTCTGAAAGACCTTCAGGAAAATGTAATATCCATAATGAAAGAGACACATTCCTAATATGTAATATCCTCTTAAGCTATTTACTACCTTGCCATTGCCACCTCCTGGTTCATGGCCTACATTGTCCATTGATCCCACTTTGGCCTTGACGTTAACCTTATGGGATTCAGTCTTCACATCACCACCACCTGAGAGAGATCGATCATCATTCACATGGCTATTTACTGCATGCACTCACAATGAGACTGCATTTACAGTAATAGGCAATATTAAAATTGATCCATCCCCTACCTGGCTTGTGCTTTATGTTGTCCTTGGATCCACATTTAGAGGCCACTTTGCTCAAGTCAACCTTTTTATTTAAAATCTGAACCTGCACACCAGGAATAAAGACCTGTTAGACTAAAGTATCTGATTTGTTTCTGATAATGGATGTCCTAAGAGAAAAGAACATTTAAGACACATACTGTACATGTAACTCATTGCTGTTCTAAGCGTTATATGATGAAAGGGTTAGTTCACCCAAAAATGAAAATTCTGTCATTAATTACTCACCCTCACGTCGTTCCAAACCCGTAAGACCTTCCTTCATCTTCAGAACACAAATTGAGATATTTTTGATAAAATCCGAGAGCTTTCTGACCCTCCATAGACAGCAATGCAACTACCATGTAGTAGGCCCAGAAAGGTAGTAAGGACATAAGTTAAAATAGTCCATTTGACATCAGTGGTTCCCTTTCATGGGAA